GCTTTTGTTGCCCAGGCTGGAGTGCAATGGCGCGATCTGGGCTCATTGCAACCTCCGCCTGACAGGTTCAAGTGATTCTCCTGCCTCAGCCTCCCAAGTAGCTGAGATTACAGGCATGCGCCACCACGCCTGGCTAATTTTTTGTGTTTTTAGTAGAGACGGGTTTCTCCATGTTGGTCAGACTGGTCTTGAACTCCCGACCTCAGGTGATCCACCCGTCTCAGCCTCCCAAAAGTGCTGGGATTACAGGCATGAGTCACTACGCCCGGTGTTTTTGTTTTGTTTTGTTTTTTGTTTTTTAAAGACAGAGTCTCACTCTGTTGTCTGAGCTGGGAGTGCAGTGACATGATCTCGGCTCACTGCAACCTCTGTCTCCTGGGTTGAAGCGATTCTCCTAGCTCAGCCTCCTGAGCATCCAGTACTACAGGCAAATACCACCACACCTGGCCAGTTTTTATATTTTTAGTAGAGAAGGGTTTCACTGTTTGGCAAGCTGGTCTCAGACTCCTGACCTTAGGTGATCCACCTGCCTCGGTGTCCCAAAGTGCTGGGATTATAGGCATAAGCCACTGCGCCTGGCCCTGCTCCATCATTCTGATACATGGCTTTAGTAGATTTTATCTTAGCCTTTCCTTGCCCATTCTTTGTCAGCCACTGTTCCAGGGACTTACTGTCACTAATGAGAGAACATAGCATCTATCAGCTGTGGCATGGTAGAAAAAAGGTTGGGAATGACTGCTATGGAGAGTGTGTTCAACCATAGAGGGACTCATTTCTCTCATCATAAAAATTATATGTAATTTAATTATATATTTTAGGTACGTAAATGCTATTTTAGGTATATCAAGCGCAAGAACCCATTATGGAGAATGGATTTTTTCATTGTATTTTTGAGACTCCTCTCTTAGAATCATCTCTACCCACATATCGCGTTTTCTTTCCTTCCTACAATTTTAGTACAGAGGAAAATCCCAAGAGAGAAGATTATTTTGGAATCACAAATCTTGTTGAACATCCAGCCCAGCTCAATCCTCCAGGTAATGTATAGATTCCTGAATCAAGTCTCTAGAGCAGCATTATCCACTGGAAATTTATACAGCAATGAACATGTTCTGTATCTGTGCTGTTCAATACAGTAGCCACTATCCATGTGTAATTCTTTTTTTTAAATTCAGTTTTTTTCCTAACAATAGTTTGCAGTTTGACCAGTGAACATACATTTTAAGTGCATATTCCTGTGCTTAGAATTTCATGAGACAGCCAAGCATGGTGGCTCATGCCTCTAATCCAAACACTTTGGGAGGCCAAGGCAGGAGGATCGCTTGAGGCCAAGAATTCAAGACCAGTCTGGGCAACACAGTGAGACCCATCTCAAGGAAAAATAATTTGGCTGGATATGGTGGCTCATGCCTATAATCACTGCACTTTGGGAGGCTGAGGTGGGCAGATTACTTGAGCTCAGGAGTTCCAGATCTGGGCAGCATAGCAAAACCCCATCTCTACAAAAAATAAAATCAGCCGGACATGGTGGCATGCATCTATAGTCCCAGCCTCTTGGGAGGCTGAGGTGTGGAGGATGGCTTGAGCCTGGGAGGTAGAAGTTGCAGTGAGCTGAGATGGCGCTGCTGCACTCCAGCCTGGGTGATACTGCCAGACCTTGTCTCTTAAAAAAAAAAGAACCCCAAAAATTTCATGAAGCTTTACATTTACAGTTCCCTGGTTGTGCCTAGGAAGCAGCCCTCAGCTTGCTCCTTTTATAGAACCACATGTTGTCATGGCATCCATAGCTAAATGCAAATGCAAGAGCTAAACTCTTGGTTTGGTGTGTTATTAGATGCGATATGCTCCACTACCCACTGTGAGGGATGCTAACTCCAAAGGACTTTTTGTTAGTTTCCCAAAGTTGAAACTGGGAAACAAAGTCGCTTTTTTTTTTTTTTTTTGAGATGGAGTTTCACTTTTGTCACCCAGGCTGG